ATCTTAAATGATTTGCTGTTTCTATTGACTATTATATAATTATTATAACTTTATTTTGGAAACGACGCTTTTAAAACAGCGGACACGCTCTCGCAGTGTGTTTATAAAAGTAACATACTGTACAGCCATAATACAATATTAAAATAGAGGCGAGAATTTTAATACAATAAAATGTACGTTACATAATTACACAAGTTGAATATATCACAGACCCTGTATATCATTTAACACTTACAATTTATAACATTTACAGCAAAGCACAGTTTATATATTGCGGCCAACTGACCTATACTATTATAATATTTATAAATAATAATAATCAAATTAATAACATAAGATTTGAATAGGGCTCGCTCATATTCAAATTTAAAGAGCAACAATCTATATACTCTAGACGGATTTAAATTACATTTTGATATATAATTTATATAATATATATAATTTTTGCTGGTCGTCACATATCATTTATTTGCAAAAATAATAGAAGCTACTTAAGGATTGCCTAATTAAAGAATGCTTGCCATCGAGGGGCTCTCTCGGTCTATTGGCGAGGATTAAAGAACTGCTTAAAAATAGTAAATTATTACAGTATTATTTTATACAATAATATGAAATTGGATATAAAGTAGTGAAATCATAAAAAAAAAAAATCTATAAATAGTTTCATGAAATTCGACTGCTAAAAAGATTAAATGAAATTAAACTATACAGGAGGCCACTAAATGTATTATACAATATTATACACAGGAACGCACATCACGTTAGACACAGAACGCGCATCGCGTATGACACAAAATGGCTTCTAAATTCTCAATGTCGCAACTCTTTCTATCTATGGCTCTGTTTGCCTCATAGAGCTATTAAACAACTAGAGTGCTGACAAGATGGCGGAGCAATGCAGAGTTATGTATGTGTACCATCCAAGATGGCCGTCGTAGTAAAGCGCCACCTTCAGGCTTAGTATACATATTATTACCATAAATAAGCCCTCTGACTGACTATTATTTTATTAATGATAATGGGTAATTATAGTAACAAACTATTAAACTATCGTAGCCAAAACGAGGCCAAGTGGAGCATCCTATTCAAAAATAAAGTACCAAGAAATAAAAATTAAAATCGTGTAGATTACGCCCATACACCGCAACGCTCGAGTTTCAAACGTTCTGTGTAAATTGAGGGCGCAATTGCAAACGACGGCGCTTAGGCGAAATTTGATTGGCTGAATCTATGGCAGCCATCTTGGATGGTACACACACACAGTTCTGCGTATTTCGAACATCGAATACACTGCGGTTAGCGCTCTAGTATTCTTATTATACCTCTATGGTTTGCCTCCAGTTGACAGCGCCGCCAACATTTCAAGAAATATCCAACAAAGATCTTATAAACACAAGATAGCGTTCTCCGCGAATTACGCGTAACAAATAGAAGCGTCGGTCAAGGTTCAAAAGTTTCCAATTTAGCAAGAGGGCGCCATTCATGCGCTATTATCAAAGATCTTATAAACACAAGATAGCGTTCTCCGCGATTTACGCGTAACAAATAGAAGCGTCGGTCAAGGTTCAAAAGTTTCCAATTTAGCAAGAGGGCGCCATTCATGCGCTATTATACCAAAGAGAAAAAGTAATCAGTTTTGGAAGAGGGCGTCCTATCTGTTGCCATGGATTTGAGATGGTTCCATAGAGCTAATAAACAACTAGAGTATGGAACGCCGTTACTGCCTTTGGTGGCTCTTTTCCGTTCGGCGCATTTGTTATTCGGCC